TGTACAGAGGGTGGGGGTGGGGGGTGGGGGATTAATCACTACGTTTAATCCATCACAAAGGCATTAATCACATGCACGGGACAGCGAATGGGACTAAGTACGTGTTGAATTCTGGGGGCACGGGTGGCCCAGTCATCTAAAGCGCTGCAAATTGGCGTTCATTATGCACCATCTCCTGTCATCACTCAGTAGTGGTTATCCGTGATGGGACATCTAGTATCATCACTCAGAAGTGGACGTCTATAACAACATCTCCTGTCATTACTCAGTAGTAGACGTTTATGACACCATCTCCTGTCATTACTCAGTAGTGGACGTCTATGACACAATCTCCTGTCATTACTCAGCAGTGGACGTCTATGACACCATCTCCTGTCATTACTCAGTAGTGGGCGTCTATGACACCATCTCCTGTCATTACTCAGTAGTGGACGTCTATGACACCATCTCCTGTCATTAATCAGTAGAGGACGTCTATGACACCATCTCCTGTCATTACTCAGCAGTGGACTTCTATGACACCATCCCCTGTCATTACTCAGTAGTGGACGTCTATGACACCATCTCCTGTCATTACTCAGTAGTGGACGTCTATGACACCATCTCCTGTCGTTACTCAGTAGTGGACGTCTGTGACACCATCTCCTGTCATAACTCAGTAGTGGACGTCTATGACACCATCTCCTGTCATTACTCAGTAGTGGACGTTTATGACACCATCTCCTGTCATTACTCAGTAGTGGACGTCTATGACACCATCTCCTGTCATTACTGAGTTCTGGGCGTCTATGACACCATCTCCTGTCATTACTCAGTAGTAGACGTCTATGACACCATCTCCTGTCATTACTCAGTAGTGGACGTCTATGACAACATCTCCTGTCATTACTCAGTAGTGGACGTCTATGACACCATCTCCTGTCTTTACTCAGTAGTGGACGTCTATGACACCATCTCCTGTCTTTACTCAGTAGTGGACGTCTATGACACCATCTCCTGTCATTACTCAGTAGTGGACGTCTATGACACCATCTCCTGTCTTTACTCAGTAGTGGACCACTATGACACCATCTCCTGTCATTACTGAGTTCTGGGCGTCTATGACACCATCTCCTGTCATTACTCAGTAGTAGACGTTTATGACACCATCTCCTGTCGTTACTCAGTAGTGGACGTCTATGACACCATCTCCTGTCATTACTCAGTAGTAGACGTTTATGACACCATCTCCTGTCATTACTCAGTAGTGGGCGTCTATGACACCATCTCCTGTCATTACTCAGTTGTGGACGTCTATGACACCATCTCCTGTCATTACTCAGCAGTGGACGTCTATGACACCATCCCCTGTCATTACTCAGTAGTGGACGTCTATGACACCATCTCCTGTCATTACTCAGTAGTGGACGTCTATGACACCATCTCCTGTCGTAACTCAGTAGTGGACGTCTATGACACCATCTCCTGTCATAACTCAGTAGTGGGCGTCTATGACACCATCTCCTGTCATTACTCAGTAGTGGGCGTCTATAACACCATCTCCTGTCATCACTCAGTAGTGGACGTCTATGACACCATCTCCTGTCATTACTCAGTAGTGGACGTCTATGACACCATCTCCAGTCATTACTGAGTTCTGGGCGTCTATGACACCATCTCCTGTCATTACTCAGTAGTAGACGTTTATGACACCATCTCCTGTCATTACTCAGTAGTGGGCGTCTATGACACCATCTCCTGTCATTACTCAGTAGTAGACGTTTATGACACCATCTCCTGTCATTACTCAGTAGTGGACGTCTATGACACCATCTCCTGTCATTACTCAGTAGTGGGCGTCTATGACACCATCTCCTGTCATTACTCAGTAGTAGACGTTTATGACACCATCTCCTGTCATTACTCAGTAGTGGGCGTCTATGACAACATCTCCTGTCATTACTCAGTAGT